TTCTTTTTTAGCCAGTCTCGTACAATGGTGATTTGAACGTGCGATGAAATTGGAAAAGAGAAGTTTGAGCTAGGGCAATTGGATTCATTTTGAACAGTTATGTCTTAAATTCTTAGGTTTCATTACGTAATTATCAAAGTATTTTAGGACGTTTTCTTCTTCTTCTTCTAGGAGCTTGAATGAATTGAGTAGATTTCCATATCAACCATCATAGGATACTAGTTAAGACACATGTTCTTGATTAAGAGGTCAGGGGTTTGAATCTCCCTACGCTATCTCGTTGAACTCTCAAAAAAATACTATGATTGCTGTTTTCTGTTCCTATAACGTGAATATTCATTTCAGAAGTTGTTCTGACACACTTTTGTAATTCTCTTTTATTGCTGCAGTGGGTGTTGTCCTCGAAGGAAATCAATTTTCCTTATCCTCTTGCTTTGACATTACTTCACATGATCTTCTCTTCCATCTTATGCTTTCTTCTCATCAAAGTGTTTAAGGTACTATGGATTAATGATATTGTGGTTGAGCAATAATTATACTGTGAATACTTCAATGTTTGGACATAAATGTATATGAAACAAGAATGTCATAACCTCAGTCTGCTTTATATCTCAGGTTCTGAAGATTGAGCAAGGTATGAGTGCAGAAATGTATGTAAAGCTACTGTATATGGGTCTATTATCAGATATCAATTTTACAAAGTTCTGTTTGAATATATTGCTTATTACATTGGATGAATAGAAGAAAATTTTCATGAAGATCCTTGTTATGGATTAGGGAATGTTAGAATCTCTTAACTTCTTGTGTGAAGAATGTAGAATATGAGATCCTGAATTTTAAGTCGACTAATCGATTCTTGAAGCTATTTTTTTGAAGTAATATTTTCTGCCCAAAACTAATGAGGAATAGTTTGCTAGTTTCTTCAAGGCTGGTTTTCTCGGGGGCGTGGGGTGTTTTTTTATTTTTTTATTTTTTTTTCGTTCTCTCTTTAGAGTTGTTTGATCTGGATGCTTTCTTTAAAAAGGAAAGTTTGCTTCATTTATTTCTGGCGTGAAATCTAAAGAAATATATATGATTTAGGTATGCTACATCAGTAATCCCAATTGGTGCAACCTTTGCAATGACTCTTTGGCTAGGAAACACTGCCTACCTGTATATCTCTGTTGCCTTCGCACAAATGCTGAAAGCAATCAGTAAGTTTTGGTGGAATAGAGTACCATCCCAATAGCACCCTTTGGTGCATATTTCCTAATATTTGTTTGGTTCATTTTTCGTTAGTCTTGATACCATTTCAATGGATTCCCAAATGTCCTTGCAGTGCCGGTTGCCGTTTTTATTCTTGGAGTAGCAGCAGGTCTTGAGTTAATGAGCTGTAGAATGTTACTGATCATGTCAGTGATAAGTTTTGGTGTTCTAGTGGCTTCATATGGAGAAATAAACATCAGTTGGATTGGTGTTGTTTACCAAATGGGAGGCGTCGTAGGGGAAGCTCTAAGACTAATTTTCATGGAGATTCTGGTTAAAAGAAAGGGCCTAAAGTTAAATCCGATATCTATCATGTACTATGTTAGTCCCTGCAGGCATGTACTCTATACTTTCTCCTTCTTGTAAACATTGACACTGTTGAAAATTTTTGTACCACCCACAGAGTCATCCATATTTACAATAATGATTTTATTGGATTGGTGTAGTGCCCTTTGCCTGCTCATCCCATGGATCTTTCTGGAGAAACCAAAGATGGAAGCACGTGGATCATGGAATTTTCCTCCTGTTATTCTAGTTCTCAACTCTCTATGTACTTTTGCACTCAACCTCTCGGTTTTCCTTGTTATTACGCATACAAGTGCCTTGACTATTCGTGTTGCTGGAGTCGTGAAGGATTGGATCGTGGTCTTACTGTCGGCTCTTTTATTTGCGGATGTAAAGTTGACCATTATTAATCTCTTTGGATATGGCGTTGGTAAGTACATGACTAGTGGTGATTTTTCATATCTTAACGTAATGAACTGATTTACTCATAGCCTGCTAAAGGTAGGTATATCTTCTATGCTCTAGTCTATCCTTGTTCATCTGAAATCTTGTTCCAGTTAAATGTTGACTCTGGAGACTATTCCGCTAAGCTCCCTGTTCAAATTGTTATCATGTGGCAAAGTCAAGAACATTTTCTTTAGATAGCTGGCTGTTTTTTTTTTCTTTTTCTTTCAAGGAATCGTAAGTTTATCATTATGAACACGGTAGTCTCGCAATTATATGAAAAATCCAAGTTTAGAAGGTCGAATCCCCATATTTGTTTCTAATTACTATCACCTTGATACAGCCATTGCCGGGGTCGTGGCATACAACAATCACAAGTTGAAAAAGGAAGCTTCACGAGGAAGCCCTAGTGAGTCTGAACAGTCTGAATCCGTGGCAATGGTCACACCCTCGTCCAGCAATAAATAGTTACTGTGTTTGGGCAGTCTGGTGAGGTATGTGTTTGCACTTCTTCTCCCTCTGTTATGCCTCCTCCTGAGTGTCAAATTTCATATCGGTCAAATTGATAGTTACTAAAGCGAATCCATAGCCGAATCCAACGCTCTAGAGGAAATTGCAGACATGTTTTCACTCTCGGTTGCAGGAAAGACCTACTGAGTTTTCTTAATAGGTTTTGGTCTTAGACTATGTTTGAGAGTGCCACTCAAAAAAGTTACGTTTGGGGGTAATATAAAAGTGCTTTGTGACAAATAGTGTGTGAGATCCCACGTCGGTTGGAGAAGAGAACGAAATATTCTTTATAAGGGTGTAGAAACCTCTCTCTAGTATACACGTTTCAAAAACTTTGAGGGGAAGCTCGAAAGGGAAAACCCAAAGAGGACAATATCTGCTAGCAGTGGGTTTAAGCTGTTACATAGTGATTACATGTAGGTGGTTTGACCCAAATACTTGGCTAGGAAGCATGTTAAAAGCTCACTAAACATGAAGTGATATGTTATTAAGCATTTTTTACTAAGTGTTTATAGTTGAAGTGTGTGTATATATATATATATATATATATTCTCCTGCAATGAGGAACGCAAGTTTGCTGATGGCAGGGACAGATTCAGACGTATAGAGATGTATTATCCACAGTCAACTGTCAAAAGTAAAGATGAACTAACGTGTATCCTTTGAGATTTTTATATCTTTTCGTGTTCAATTTTGAAACCCGGCCGATGAACTGAAGACCAGTGACATAAACTTCTCACTGGGAGGACAAAGATGAAAGCATATGGCAATTGTAAGGTAGATTCAAAACATACATCTTTTATGTGTAGATTTATTCCCAGCTTATAGAAATGATTCATATTGTTTTAGATATATGATTGGAATTTGATTCTCTTGGTTGTTCATATGGCTGTAGCTGCCCAAACTATTATACTGTTGTGAATCTCAATGGTTTTACTATCTTTTTGAGAATTCTGATAGAAATTTCCCACTGTTTCAGTACTGTCTATACAATATGTAAGATTTGTTGGTCTGATTTCCTTGTGTTTTGTATCATTTGACTGAGTTTCAAGTTCATATGTATTCATTATTTACTTAAAACTTGTACACCTTGTTATTTGTTTTGAGTTTTGGCTTTACATTAAGGGGCTGTTTTCATTAATTCTAGGTTATGTAAGTATATTAATCGTACCATTGAGTCGTGTAGAATGGATATCTTATTTTACATCTTTTTCGGTTCTAAGAGAGAAATGATGCATATTTTAACTAGTTGAGTTATGTTCAGGTCGACGTTTTGTATTACTTTTGTGAATAGAGAGATGGAGAAATGTTTTATTTTCTTTCGTGGATATAGCGAGGGAGAGGATATTATGAATCTGTGTGACGTGACGTGACAATGCCTTGTTGTAGATGTGATCAAAATGGAAGTTTTTCGGTTATACCATGAATTAGATAGGTTCCAACTGTGTTCGTAACATTTTAAAATGTTCATGAACTCTTGCAATTGTTTAAAATAATCATTTAGATTAGTTTCTTCGTTCAAATGAAGACGGAAATATGATGTGACGATCAGGTAAGAGAGTGGAGAGTACATGGTGTCCTCTCGTGTGCAAAGTTAAACACTAGTTAGATCGTCTTGTGTTTACTTGTCCTTTGATATGGCTACTTTCACTTGCCTTTTGTTTTCTATTTATCCTCTCCATCCTCTCCAAAAATGTTGTTATGCCCAAATCGTTTGATCGTGAGGAGCGGAAAACAATATTTTATCATAATCTCCAATTTAATCCCGCTCCTCTCCAAGTTGAATGTGACAAAGTCTTCAAATTTGTTTACTTCCGTCACATCACAATGTAACGAAGAAGATAACGAAGTATTTTGAATCAATTTCAAAATAAGGCAGGTTACAAAAGAAAAGTTATAAAAAGGGAACTGTATATATTATATATAAAAGGAAGGTTACAAAAGAAAAGTTTCAAAATTGTAAAGTTTATCTTAAAGTCGACTATATATATATATATATATTTTTTGTGAGATCCCATATTAGTTTGAGTGGAAAAACAACAAAACGGACCGCAACAGACAATATCTACTAGTTCGTTGGAGAGGCTAACAATAATGCAACAAAACGGACCAGAACAAACAATATCTACTAGTTCATTGGAGAGGCTAACAGAGATGCGTAACGGATCGAAGTAGACAAAATCCGCTAGTTCATAATGAGCCAAAGTTAGTCCGTGACCCTAACGGTGATGTGTAACGAACCAAAACAGATAATATCTATTAGTCCTATTAGTTCGTAACGAGTCAAAATATACAATATCTACATAACGGGTCAAAACAGACAATGTCTACTCGCAGTGGGGGCTTGAGTTGTTAGATGTATATTCCGAGATAAAGTAAAATTAGGTTAACATGGTGGGTAAAAAAAGGGAAAAAAAAAAAAAAAACACAAACACTAAAATAATTAGAATTTTGAAATTAAAAAAAAAAAAAGAAAAAATATAAAAGCCGCGTTTGGTTTAGAAGACGAATCCGTTTCAACGATTTGTCCTATTTTATTTTCGGTTGGAGGGCGGGGGAGGGAAGGCGCTAGAAGAAAGGGAGGGAAAATAACGAAAATAAGAAGACGAATAAGCTATGCGATTTCGCTGGTGGTGCTGCCGGCGGCGACACTCTGGTAGTAGAGGTACCGGACCATCGGCCTCTAATGCTCTGCACAAACCTAGCCAGGAAGGAGAAGGTCGTTAATGGCCTTGCAATTGCAAATGAGTTGGCAACCGAGTTTACTGAGTCAGAAGCGCCGGAACGGCCCCCCACTCGGTCTTAAAAACCTAGGCAATACCTGCTACCTCAACAGCGTCCTTCAGTGTCTCACTTACACCCCTCCCCTCGCCAATTTCTGCCTCCGGAACCAACACTCCTCTCTCTGTAAGTATTTTCTTCGTTTTTCTCGCTTCAATTTGATTCCGCTTTCAGCCCTAATTTATGTCTCTCTGTATGTGGTTCATGCGTTTCGTTTTTCTGTTTCAGGTGATTCGGCTTCCTCCGACAACGAGCGAAAGCGCGAATGTCCATTTTGCATTTTGGAGAGGCGGATAGTGAGGTCTTTGAGTTTGGATCTCACCTTAGATTCGCCTCTCAAGATCCAGAACTGTCTCAGGATCTTCGCCGAGCATTTTCGCTTGGGCCGTCAGGAGGACGCCCACGAGTTCCTTCGTTATGTCATCGACGCTTGCCACAACACCTGCCTCCGCTTGAAGAAGCTGCGTCGAAATGGAAATGGCAACTACAGCGGTGGAGGTGCGAGTGGAAGCTCCACGGTGGTGAAGGAAATTTTCGGGGGTGCCTTGCAGAGCCAGGTGAAGTGTTTATCTTGTGGAAACGACTCCAATAAGATTGACGAGATAATGGATATTAGTCTTGATGTTTTGCATAGTAGTTCTCTTAAAGAGGCATTGCACAAGTTCTTTCAACTGGAAGTTTTAGATGGCAATAATAAGTACAAGTGTGACAAGTAAGTAAGCTTTTATTTTGTCCTGTATATATCCATCCATCCATCTTCTTTCTCTTCTGGTTTTGGAATTGTCTTTTGCTCGGGTCTGATTCGGGGAGACTGTGTTTGCTTTGTAGTTGTAAGAAGTTGGTGGTGGCGAGGAAGCAGATGTCAATACTCCAACCACCTAATATTCTTGTCATCCAATTGAAGGTTTTCTGTCCTAACCTTTGATTTATTGTTTCTTTTCCCTGTTCGATTCACTGTTGTTTGTTCAAGTTCGTAGTGTTGCTGCTTTCATGTAAAGGCGTTGTTCTTGGATGGGTTTGGCAGAGATTTGATGGCATATTTGGGGGTAAGATTGACAAGGCTATTGCGTGTGACGAGAGTTTGCAGCTTGCAAATTTCATGTGCAAAGGAAGTCAGGTCCGTGTCTAACAAAAAATGACGTTGCTGAAATGCTTATTTATTAAGATTGCTTGTATATTTGAGCCATGCATGTAAACATGTCCGTTAAACTAAATAAATATTATGAAGTACATAAACGTCTAAAATTTATTTGGAGTATGATTTTACTGTAAAATTTTATGGGACTTTCTACCTTAATCCGCTCTGAATGATGAATAATGCATGATGATTGTCTGTATATTTAAGGTAGGATTTCTCTATAAGTTACTTGGAGGATTGGCAACGATCTTCTTTAACATCTGGGAGGGACCAAATACCAATTGTCTTTTCTTCTAGCTGATTGTAGGTTTCAGCCGGAGTTCTAGAGTAAATGTTGCATAATGCGATTTTCAGTGTTAAATTCTGAATTTCTTCTTCAATCAATGAGCACTTATATCTGCCATTTTCTTAGCTTGCATGCTAAAATATGCTGGATTAGGAGTGCAGCTAAATCAGAAGTAAATCGACACATCTTAGTTATAATCTTATATGGATACTTTTTAGTTGACTAGTATTTTATTTGAAAGTGTTGCTTATGCTAGACATCATTTCTTTAGTTTGGATCGCCAAGCCACAAGTCAGTTTGCCCTCAATGCAATCAGTGACTTCAGAATGGCTATCTGTTCGTGGGTGATTAGTTTAAATGTTGTAGTTCTCTCTAACAAAATAATTTACTCAGAAAATGGTCAAAAAGATACATTTGACTTACGAGCAAGTGAAACAAAGGTTGCATCGTGACTCTAACGTATCTTTACAATGTCATTTGGAATTGATCTTGCATGAGAAATCCCACATACTGTGACGGCCCTTTCATTTCTGATAGGTAGGTCACATTCAGACTAAATATCCCCGTTTCTTTCTAGGTTGAGTCCAACAAATAGGAGTTGGGAGGAATACAAGATTCTGGGAATATCATTTGGATGGCAATCTTGCCTTTATAGAGCTTATGTGCAATCTAGTCTCTATTGAGCGTTCATTCAAAAAATGTTGATGTATTAAATTGCTGGAGTGAATCACAAGCAGAGTGGGACTTAGATTTTAGAAGAGCTCATCGTCAATTAAATTTTGATTTAATCAAAGTTTAAAAAATGATTTCTTGGAGTAGGGTATTGAAGATGCAATGGCTCTAGTTGAGACAGTTTAGGGGAATGGATTAAAGGGTGTGGAACTTGCTCCCATTTTTATGTTCCATTGTGTGCGGTGGTGGGGGAGAATTTAGTAAATAGTTATTTTCTCGTTTGCCCATTTCAAGATCAGTGTTTCTGGTGAATGTCTCAAAGATCATTTGGAAGCAAAAGACTCTAGGAAAGGTTATCCTTTTCTTATGGAACCCTGTTCCATGAGGTTATTAATCGGGGTCGTATGATCCAAAACCGCACGGTAGGTGTTGACATCTTTTTAACTAAGTGCTGATGCAGACATGAATATGTATACGATATGACACGACAATATGTCAATTTCTAAAAAAGTAGGACACAGACATATTGGGATACTATTTTTTTAATAATAAATGTTTATATATTTAGTACTTCTAGACAAAACATGTAAATATGGCATTTAAATCGAGTTTTGCTTCACTACAAAAACATAATGTCAAGCAAGTTGACAATAATACAAAATACATTATTGAAACAAAGTTTTTTAATACAAATTAGAGGATAGTAAATACAAAAGGAAATGAAAAATAGTTACGTATTGTCAAAGCACCTTTGATTCATCCACCAGAGATTGAAGATATGGAAGGATTTGATTGGCAATGGCTAGAGGAAGAAGACATCCTGATAGCTCAGTTCAATGTTCTTGTTAGACACTTGAACACGTATGTGTGTGTGTGTATGTATGTACATACGTACATAAATGAAAAAAAAAAAATCTTCTAAAGCATTCTTCTTCATCTAGCCTTAGCTTCTTTGTACAACCGTCTTCTTATTGGAATGCACACCATAAGCCTCTTTGTACAACTGTCTTCTATTGTGATGTCCTTAATTTTTTGGTCCATAGCTCTTTTGCATGCTTCATTTATGCTATTGGCTGTAACTTCCATTTAGTCCTTTTATGGGGTGGTTTTTACAATTTTCTTTTGTGATATTTTATTGAAGTTGATTTCTTAAATCATGTTGCAGGATCCACGTCCAGAGTACAAGCTCTTTGGTACCATAGTGCATTCAGGCTTCTCCGCAGAATCTGGACATTATTATGCATACATCAAGGTAATTGTTGTTGGCGATACTCATCTGAAGCCAACTAAATTTATAACAATATCTGATCCTCATGAATTTATCTGTATTTTCTTAGCAGGATGCATCAGGTAGATGGTATTGCTGCAATGACTCATTTGTTACAATTTCAACTCTGCAGGAGGTTTTGTCAGAAAAGGTTTATATTCTCTTTTTCTCTCGTACGAATCAAAGGCCAGTAACTACTAGCACAGATCTTGCTTCCAATGGTGTAAAATCTCATCAATGTCATGACAGTGATGGATTCAAAATGTCAAAACCTTCTGTTGTAACTAAAACGGCACAGACAAGATCCCATGTTGAGCAATCTTCTCGGAAGGAACTTTCAAGTTCATTTAAGGTAGATAAACCAACTTCCAGTCCGCAAGGAGGGTTGTATATGAATGGACATTCTAATTCCATGCAAGCTCCTTCCACCATTAATGGAAAGATTGTTCTTGAGAAGGATGAATTCATCAAGGAGAATGAGAAAGAGAATATAAACTCGTTGCCTCTGGAAAATGGTGCAAGACATATATCTTCTCTCGGGAATGGAAATATCAGGGTAAATCATGAAGTTCATTGTGATGTCCCTGAGAAGGAACATAAATCTGTGTTAATGAATGGTAATGTAAATGGTGAAAGTATGGGAATGAAAGCAGATAAACATGACCAGTGTAATGGTAAATCTATGAATATCAAGATCACTGCAGGAAGCCCTGATCATGATGAAATTGATAATACAGTCAACTGCCCCTCTGAGATCAAAAGGGCCAAAAGAAGATCAGACTTATGTATCTTGTCTCAACAGGATTCTCAATCTCGGGGAAGAGTTGAAGAACTTAAACAAAAGTACGTTAATTTCCTTGAAAATATTTCTCCGTTGAATTCAATGAAGTATTGTAGTTTCATTTTATGATTTTTGGAAGATTAAGATGAAAGGAATTTTTCTTCTGTTCTGACTATATTTCTCTTGTTGACCTACACACAATAAGGTCGCCAAAGCTGTTAGTCTTAATTGTTAAGGTTTAGATTCACTTAATTGTTATTATAGACTACTTAAAACAAGTTATGCATGTGATGCAGGGTTGGTACGTATTATTTTCTGTATGACAGTTTGTGCAATTACTTTTTCTTTTGTGCATTTCCTTTTAGCTGTATTAACTATTGCATGCCTTTTCTTTTTCTGTTTTTGTTTGGCACTACTCTTACTGTGTGTTTGGATCGGCTTCCTAAGTGATTTGGAGGGCCAGAAGTGTTCTTTTTTTCTTTTCTTAAATCTAGAGTGTTGGATAATAAATAAAAATTATTTTTGAAATAATCAAATTAGTTTACAATTTTCTACCGAAGCACTTAAAGTTGATTATATAAAAAGTTATTGATTGGAAATCACCCTAGAATCACTTTATGGTAATAAAACATTTGTAACTACACAACTTGTGATTAAAATTACTTTTAAGAAATGTAACAGAACATACCAGGATTCGAATTAAAACCAATTTTATGTAACATGTTTTAAAAATGATTGTCTTAGAAATAAGTGTTTAAATTAGGTATGCCAAACTCACCCTTACCAGTTGTATTATCTGACTATAAGGCTATTGATATCCCTCTGTAGTTTATTTCTTTTATGCTTTACTTCTATCAAGTTGTTTTGGTCTCTGATACATTTTTGTGTCTATATTCAGTCTCAAGAATGAAACTTCCTCAGTTTTAAGATCATGCGGTTGGTCAGAGGAGGTCTTCAGTTGCATGAGAACAAGGAAGAGATTATGTTTACGAGAAACTGGCAGGACACCAAGTAGGAATGACTTAAAGTACGTATTACTTTCTAAGTGTATAAACAACTTCATATTCTAGTCAACTGGGTTGCTTGATGAATTATTATTTGAAATCAACATTCCTTTTCTGAAGAAAGCTCGTCATTGGTTTTGGCTGACCTATTCTATCATGAAACTTGTGATGTGTACTAACAGGTTGTAAATTTCCCAAACCTGGATTGTCAAATCCTTCTTGATAAGCTGTATCAGTGTTCGTAAATTTAGAAAATTTACAAGGGAACTATTTTTATTTGTAATGGTATTATAATTGGCATGAAGAACTCTACCTGTGTATGTAGTAATCTAAGAAGCAAGCACGATTACTTCAACTTGGGGAACATGTCAGTGTCTAACACTTGTCAGACGCGTGTTGGACACTTATTAATCCCAATAGAGATTTGGGCACTGATTAAACAAATTGAATACGAGTTCAATTCTTGTTGGGCATCTTTTGAACACTTGTTAAACACAATGAACACATATCAAACACTTGTGAACATTTGAGGTACACAGAAATGCATAAGCCAGTATTGATTTTGAATTGTCTTTTCATTAAGATGTTAAATCATTTAGAAAAAGTGATTCAGTGGTCTGGATCTATCTGAAATAGTTTGATAGAGAACAATGGATCACATGCATAAGCATGCTAAATTAAAACGATTTTTTAGTTTGAGAATTATTGGAATTTTTATTAAGAAATAAGGCCTTACCACATCCTATAATTTTAGAATTTAACATGCCACAAGTCTCTGTCATTTCACGTTCGTGTTTGTGCTTCTAGGAAGTTGTAATAATGTTTTACATTTGAAGTTAACGGTAGCTTTTTGGTTATGCTGTTATTAGGTTTTTTTTCTCTGTTCATGGCTCTTTTTCCAGTGTACATGGGTCGAACTCATTCGTTTATCATTAATGCATTGGTGATAATCAAACTCCAGTTAATTGAGATTTTATTCATTTTTTTATTTAAGTGGATGGCTGCTTTCTTTGTTGTGTAACTATGTAGATTTTGTATTGGTATTTTGTTGAATATGAGTTCGTTGCTTGGGTTCTGTTCTTGTTTTATTGACTATTTTGTTTTATACACGTGATATGTTTAGGACTTGCTTTCATATTTTAATTGCAATATGTTCCAGTCTTCATCTGGGAATATATTTTATTCCAAAATTTTAATTCATAATTTCGTTTAGTTTTAAATTGTTTACGTTGCAGTTAACTACCTTTTTCTATAATTTAGCTGAATATTTTTTGGATTGCAGTCCTATAGATATAGTCTATAAATGTATGTTCAATTTTTATTGTCACCAAAGAAAAGATATATTGTCAATTTTTTCTTATTTCAACTATGCCGTTCATTAACGATGTCACAATGCTGGTAAACAATTCTTGTTTCAAGTGCTGATGCTAAGGTTCTCTGTATCTGGATGCCCATGATGTGCATTCCCATTTTCCGTTCCTTTTTCTAACGGAGAATTACGACTTTGTAGTTGGAGATATCTCCAGAAGATTGAATCGTGCCTTCTTTTTCCCATCTTTTGAGGTCTCTTAATTCCATTTGCCTGGGTTGGTAGAGTTCTTTTTGATTGCTTTTATTAGTTGATTTAGGGTTGGCTGGTTGGGTATAGGATGTTAAAATATTTTACGTAAATACTTGCTTTGCGTGGATTATATAATAAATAATCACCATCATTGCTTGATTGGGACATTCTCATTTTAATTTCAGCATTATTTTCAGGCTTACGCCCCTCCTCTCCTCTACTTGACTTGGTATTTTGGGTACAATACAATAGTTAGAACTTCAGCTCAATCTTCTTAGTGGTTTTATTATTTTCGCGTTTACCCCAGTCATAAGCATGCATGCAGTTCACTCACTATGGAGTTTTCCTTAATTCCCCGTCTTAATATATTGTAACTTGTGGACTCACATGCAATGCAGGATATTGCTGATTGCGGATGCCAGAAAAAAGTTTATTTCACGGATACCAGAACCTCTAAAAGAGGACCTTATCAAAAAACTTAAACTGTTTAGCCATGAAAAGTAACCTCGGTGGGTCTCCTCTTTTTATGCGGTAGCTGTGCTGAGAAGAAACCTTATCCTGGTTCTTGAGATGGCGTCACAATCTTTAGAACAAAATTCATTCTGTTTTGATGGGAATGGAATGTCTTGATGGTGATATATGAAGAATATGTCCAATGCTTTGTCCAAGCAAAGCTTTGGCGTCTCGGGAATTTTTCCTTCATCATTCTCAATCCGCTGCAGTGGATTTCCATTTCTTTTGAAAAGTTGGGATCGCTGATGCGCTCGCTTGAAATTTCTTTATATCTCGAAGCTGCACAACTGGCGGCAGTCATCGCCGAGAAGAAAGTTCAGGAATTCTATTCGATTTGTATAATATCCTTTTTGGTAGGATTTTTGGCTTTCAGTCATTATGTCGTGGATGCATTACGAATTTTCTTTCAAGGAATACAGGAAAACTGCGGGAGCGAAACATATCTATGCTTTCATTGAGTTTGCATTTTTACCAAGCAAGTGTTTGCTTTTGAGCTATCTATTACACCGTACATTTGATCTTGTACCTGACTCTGCGATAAAATGATATGGTAGGCTCTTATTGCAGCCTACAGTTGAAAATATTTCAGGCGACACTGCTTTCAAAGGGTTCGATCGTATTTGATCTAGTTCACTGTCATGCATCTCTTTTGGTTTCTTTAATGCTTTTCAGTTTTACTTCTTACTTTGCACTATGTACCATTCTGAGTTTTGTGGCTGATTGATATTATTTTGCAATATTATTTTGCAAAAACTAACTTTCAGTTATTTTTTTGTAGTATCTGGAAGTCATTCCGGATGGAGCCGTTCTGTTTTCAAATGCTGTTTCTTTCCTTAAACTTGTTTGGATTATTATTACAACTTGAAAACATGATAATGGGAGAATGTCATTGATTGTTTTAGGAAAGTAGAAGGTGGGCAGCTTGACTCAGTCAGTCGATGATGTGCATCGAAGACAGTGTTATGCTAATCGATATAAGGATTTTGAGACGTTCTTTTCTCAAAACTTATTTATAATAATCTCACTTCTAATTTAAGATGAGTTAGATCACTTTGCTCCATCTCTACTTTGACCATAGCTCAAGTGTCCATTACCACTCTTTACTATCGTTGAATATACTCATTTTGAGTGTGATTTATTTCATTCTATGCACCACACACACATATATATACTTGTGGGTATCTGACTTCGTAGGAATTTGTCGCCACCCAGAAGTGTAGGAGGTTGCAGCTGTTGCCTGCTTATCTTGACTTGTGGGTATCCATTTTGAGTGTGATTTATTTCATTCTATGCACCACACACACACACACATATATATACTTGTGGGTATCTGACTTCGTAGGAATCTGTCGCTTAATCCAGCTACCCAGAAGTGTAGGAGGTTGCAGCTGCTGCCTGCTTATCTGACTTGTGGGTATCTATGTGCCGTTCCTTGTTTAAAATCTTTTTTTTTATAGAAAATCTCGAAACAAATATCATTTGTTAAGGAACCGTCTTCTATTTTATATTATGAAATTGAAATTGATTCTTTTACGTCCTTGCATACCAAATGAAGTATCAAGTGAGTGAAGGTGTCATTTCTTAAAATTTGTTCTTTTTTATGCAGACGGGGATTCATTATTGAGTGATCTGGAAGCTGCCCACTCTAAGGAATAGACTAAGATACGTATATAAAATGGTACGAGGACCTTTATTTATTTACTTTTATACATAAATAACATTCCATTAAAAGAAACATAAATAGAACGTAAATGAATACACAAGCCCTGAGAAGCATGGCTAAGGAAAGGGGCTGATAGTCATGTGTAGTAGTAGATATGTAGGTGGTCAAGTCTAGTTCACAATTACTTGTTATTTAATTGATAGAAGATGGATAGTTTGAAAATAGATGGGAGTTGACTGATTGAGGACCTTGGCTAGTGGCCTCACCCATCGGGTATTAACAATCTAAATGGTAAGTCTTCTAATGGAGTAGGCTCTTGATTCTTGATTGGTTGCTTAGTCTAATATGGTAGTAGGTTAGAGAACCATTATGTTAGGATAGATGATTTGAATGAGGTGTAGTTTTGCATGTCATAGGGAAATGGACTTGTCTTGCATGTGTGTGTGAGCGAGAGAGAAAGAGGTTAGGTTTGCCATATATATGCCATGTGAGAGACACGTCTTAGCCTTGAAGGATGCAAAACTACTTGCCATGTGAGAGAAACAAGAGACAAGTCTTAGCCTTGGAGGATTCAATGTACTTTTGAATTATTTAATAACTATTTCATTTTTGAAAAATTGTGATAATTTCTTTACCATAGTTTTCATCTTTGTAAGAAATCATTTGAATTTTTAAGAACTTTGTGCTTTTTCGAAGAATGTTTTTTTTTTTTTTTTTAAAGTTTATATAGGTACTATTTAGAACTATTGGTTTTTCAAGCTAAATTTTGGAATTTAAATAATGTAGGTCATGTGAACACAATTCATTATGATTCCCTCACTGCAGACCTCATAATAATTTTAATTTTCTTGAATGGTAAGCCTTTTTTCTTTATTCATTTATTTTTTAAAAAGAAAATTGATTATAAAAGCCGCTTTCAATATCAACAAAATTTTGCAAATCAAAACAGACTGCAAAGTTAATTTATATAAATTAGTATATCTCCAAATTAGCCCTTTATTTAGTTTGACGTCACTAATGACGTTGTTACGTCAGCAATGACTACTTTCTTTCCCCTCTTGAAGGTTCTACTTTTCTCTCTGTAACCATTTCACGTCAGCAATGACGTCATATTATTTATTTGTTTTTCCTTTCCATGAAAAATCTTTTCGAGTCAAGCCAACCCCTTTGAAAAATAGGTATTATACGCATTTTCTTCTTTTACAAATGGCATATTCTCATTTTGTTTGACAATTATGGGATACCCGAATTTGATTTTGTTTATTACGTTTTTCAATTATTACTTTTATTTCTTTTCATACAAAGATTTATACCTCAAACATCATTCATTTTATTCAACAATCATAAAATTAATTAGGCTTTTTTTTTTCTAATCTAGTATTTAAACTAATCTTTTGTATTTTTGTTAATTTCACCTCTTTAATAAAAGTATTGAAATTTAGAACCTCGAGGTCTTTCTTTTTCATTGTCTATTTTTTTAATAGAAGTATTGAAATTTGAAACCTCGAGATCTTTCTTTTTGCTTCCTTCTTCCTATTAAATGGATCCATTCCTAGTCCCAAACTCAAAAACTCTCCTTTCTTCTTCATTAACAATTTCAAGTTTCTTCCCATTTGACAACAATGGCGGACGAAGTGAAACTGCTGGATTTCTGGCCGAGCATGTTTGGGATACGAGTTAGAATAGCCCTGGCCGAGAAGGGCGTAGCGTATGAATACATGGAACAAGATCTCAGGAACAAGAGCCCTTTGCTGTTGCAGATGAACCCAGTTCACAAAAAGATCCCTGTTCTTGTCCATAATGGAAGACCCATTTGTGAATCTTCCATTATCGTTCAGTACATCGATGAAGTTTGGAAGGACAAAGCGCCTCTCCTGCCGTCTGATCCTTATCACAGGGCTCAGGCCAGATTCTGGGTGGATTTCATCGACAAGAAGGTAACTTTTTTTCTTTTCTCCCTCCCCTTTTTATGATATTGTCCAAGGACAAGTTTTAGTTATCTTGCTTTTAGTTTGTCCAAAAAGCGTGATGTTGATGTATTACCGTGTTTCCTTTTGGTTTCTCCAAAAGGCCTCTCTCCCAACATTCTTTCCCTCAATCAAATTACAGTGCCTCTTTTGAGGCCTATAAGCTCTAGAAGAGTCTCTTTAGTCAAGGCTAAACTCTTCTCTACCTTCTCTAATAAAGTACCTCTTTTATTCGACATTTGAGTCACTTTGACTATATTTTTTAGATTCTCAACTTTTCCTTCAACATTTAAGGATTCAATCGACATAGTTTTGATATCATGTTAAAACTACGACTCTCCGCCACAATGTGATATTGTCGACTTTGAGCCTAAGCTTTGATGACTTTACTTTTATTTTTTCGGAAAAGCCTCATATGAATGAAAATGAAAAACTTGCAGCTTTATGATGCTGGGAGGAAGGTATGGACCGGGAAGGGAGAAGAGGTGGAGGCAGGGAAGAAGGAGCTGATTGGAGTTCTGAAGCAGCTGGAAGAGGTTCTAGGGGAGAAGGGTTTCTTCGGAGGGGAGCGTTTGGGGTTTGTAGACATTGCTTTGATTGGATTCCACAGTTGGTTTTATAGCTATGAGGCGTTTGGTAAGTTGAGCATAGAGGCTGAGTGTCCCAAGATAATGGGTTGGGCGAAGAGATGCTTGGAGAAGGAGAGTGTTTCCAAGTCCTTGCCTGACTCCAAGAAGGTCTATGACTTTGCGGTTCAAATGAAGAAAGCACTTGGCCTTGAATGAACAATCTGCTGTTCCTCCTCTCCGATAAAGGGCATGGCGCCCCGCTTTTAGTTCTAAATAAAACTCTTACCTTTTCCGATTTCCTGTACTGTATTAGGTTACTACATGCATGTGTTTTGATTTGTGTTAAAGCTATTTGAAAGTATTTGTTATAGACTTATGAGGCCCTAGTGTATTTTAGTTCTCTACATACATTTCATGCACGTGCGTACAATCCCACAAATAAATTAGTTCTAAGAAAGGAATGTGATAATCAAGAAAGCACAGTCAAGTTGATCGACCTCTTTCAAGAAGATTCAACCAAGACTAAGACTAATATTCGAGTTCTGTTCATTGAGTTTGCATTTTTACCAAGCAACTGTTTGCTTTTGAGCTACCTATTACACCGTACATTTGATTTTGTACTTGACTCTGCGATAAAATGATATGGTAGGCTCTTATTGCAGCCTACAGTTGGAAATATTTCAGGCGACACTGCTTTCAAAGGGTTCGATCGTATTTGATCTAGTTCACTCTCATGTATCTCTTTTGGTTTCTTTAATGCTTTTCAGTTCTACTTCTTACTTTGCACTATGCACATTTCAGAGTTTTGTGGCTGTTGATATTATTTTGTAAAAACTAACTTTCAGTTGTTGTTTTTTTTTTTTTTTTTTTTTTTTTTTTTT